GACAATCTGGCAGATCTCTCGGCGAACAACCTTTTCACATCCAGGCCGCCCGCCGGTTCGCTTGGACATGCCTTCGGGTGTTTCAGTCTGCTCTACCCGTGCCACTTTATAGCCCTGTTTATAAGGGGAAAAGGATGAGCAAACGTTTGACAGGGGTAGGTTACGTAACCTCCCTCAGCCACTACTCATCCTAGGATCGTGTAAAACTGGAATGGTGACAATATGGGTTTCAAGGATGGGGCCTCAATACGGAAAAGTAGCGAAATGCGTGCAATAAAACACAAAAAGCAAGTAAATTTCCGCCAAATTTATTCTCCTAGGCCCATATATAGCAACAAAATTGAGTGATATTAAAAAAACCAATGCTCAATAAATGAAAGGAAGTTGAACAACAAAACCCCCAAAAGAACATGCATGTACTTGTATGATTGTAGTAGTTAACAAATAGGTCACTTCCCAGAGCTATGAGAAAATTATTGGTAACTTCCAACCGTCCGAACATTGGAAAAGCACAAACGTTCTGTTCACAACAACAGTCTTCCGTCAATTTCCACCATGAAGTCGCAAGACGAGAAGTCACTTTCGAACCCAATTTCTCAAGGACCTAGCACAAACATGAACCAACTCGATCAGTTAATTTTACGGCTTTCATCCTCAGTCTCCAGCACCCACCGTCAGCAGTCTCCAAGTGTGTTCCTATCATCAACTATTCGGAGCAGCAGCACAATGGTGTATGCAGCCATGCTCTTTGAAGTCGTCTCTCACGACCTCGGGGAATCCATCCCATCCGATAGTACAAGCGACTACTGCTGGGACCACAACCAATCTTCACATTCACAGCTTTTTCCCCTGAGACCATATCGCTAACACCAGATTCCTAATCAACTCTCGTGCCACTGTTAGCGTGATCCCACCAACGCCGGTTGACCGCATACAACACAGCACGTTGTGTCTCTCAGCTGTCAATAATTCCGGCAATGCCACCTACAGTCAGCGCTTTACCACACGTGATTTGGGCCTTCGACAGCCATTTAGATTAATTTTCATCATCACCGACGTCTCCGTCACCCTCATAGACGCCGATTTTAATTCACTTCGATTTGCTACTCAATCTGAAAAACCGTCAACTCGTCGACACGAACCTTCGTGTCCGCTGCCACTTCGACGCGAATCTGTGCCTCGGTGGTGGTGGTGGTTGTTGTTGTTGTTGCAGGATCAATTGCAAGGTAAGTGGC